TGATTGCATTCCTTTCTCGCTCTGATTCAAATGTCAATATATATGTAAGCCCTTTCTTGGGTTGCTTGAACAATGACTTTGATGCAATATTGCCATCACCTCTAACTCCACATAGCTAATATTGAGGAAACCATAAAATATAAGAATTCTTGTTCATTGAAGTTTAAAAATTTGCACAAAACTAACCATGGGATTAGGGAGGCCCCCAGCTCCCCTAACCTTGAAAAAGCATGGAGCATCTAGGGTGGTACCTGCATAGATGTGGAATAGAGTTCTCTAGACTTAGTGATCCATCCTCTACAGAGTTTTATTCTCATTTTTCACCCATTTAAAACATGGGTAAAGTGCAATTGACGATCTAGTCCATTCATCTAGAAAATGACAACCTAAAAACATAAAATGGCAAAAAGCTTTAGTTATATGTATAAAAAAGCAAAAAAAATTCTTTTCTTGAAAGCATGTAACTTGAAAGAAGAAATAAATATATAAGTAAAGCACTTGACCAGAAGCTTCCTCAATAAATAACTTTCTAGTTAACACTGGTAACACATGGTGAAACAAAACACAAAAGAATCAACAAAAGGCACTGACAATGATTGAATACCTAGTTGGCAAGGGATTCATCTTGGCAAGACAACCAACATGAACCAGAAGAAGAAGAAGATTTCATTGCTAAATTTGGCCAACTGTGGCAATTGCTTATTAGATTTGTTGCATCTTCTTGTTCAGAAGCTTGCTATCTTCTTCAGTCAACTCCATAGCTTCCTTTGAAGGCTGAATAATGTTCTTTATGACAATCATCTTTCCATTGCTTCCTGGCAATTCAGCCTTGTAGATTTCTCCACAAACCTCCTTTTCCTATTAAAAGAAGAATCTTGACTAAGTAGGAGAAGCATGATCGATAACATGTATATTTGATTACATGTCCCTCTTGAAGCATTATATGGTGGTTCTAGATTAGGCATCATTGGTTTCATCATAGAAACACATGTTGGTATTATGCTATGCTGCAAATATGCCACATCCATATTAAATACCGCACAAGTGGTAAATTTATTGAAGACAAGTATGAACTGAATTAAGCTAAAGAGTTATGCACCAAAATCAAAGCAAAATGAACTGATATCTTATGCAAAACAATATTGTAGCATGAAAACAAAGCTCAAACCAAAATCAAATCATCATCTGACATAAGTTACTGTTTCATGTCCTTCATTTCTTTTAATGGGGGGCAGAGTTGCAAGTGGTGGAGGTGGTTCATATGGGAAGGAACCCTACAAAATTTCAGCATTATTAACTAGGAACTCAACAGAAAAGGCATAAAAGATTTTAGCGTTAATTAGACTTGTAGAGGATAACTAGTTTGAAAAGGCTGCATAAACTGCCAAAAAAGAAAAAATTATGCAAATGGACTTGAAAGCATTTTGTTAGATCAACATGGATGCTTAGGGCTCTTCAATCAAACAACAATGTTTTTTTTTTTTTGGTAGATAGTATAAGTTGTTGATTACCAAGGTATCCACATCTGTTCGCGCGAGAACATATTCCAAAAAATCAGAGTTTCCTTGCACCAATGAATAACGTAAAAGGATTGCAATCTCGTCAACCATGCACCTGCAGATGCAAAGCACTTGTGAAACTCTATATAAACTTTGAGAGTTCATGAAAAGAAATGAACCAACAACCATTCAATGAATGCAGCAGCTTTAGAGTAATTATTCTTGAAACGGACCTCAATGTAAGATGCAGCAGCTTCAAAGTGCTTCTCATTTGTCTTAGCAATGAACATGTCCCAAAAGACAGACCACCATTGAAATAAAAAGCCACCAAGCGCATCAATGGATGGGTCACATGCGAACACAACATTAAAAGATAGATTTCAACGCATTATTTAATTTTCTTAGATATAATTATTCTTGAATGGTACTGATACATCTCTTTACATACCTACTGCTTGATTTGAGACAATATACACCTAACATCCTCAGTACCAGGTCTCTCCTTTGGATTGTCTAAAGAGCAGAAGAAAGCAATTTTAGAGCCAAAAGCATTTGCTCTTTATACCCATTTCTGATTAGTTTTGGATCAATTGCTTGAGTGGAATTTTCAAAAGTCATGATGTTTCTCATCCACTACTTAACCATACTCATCTCATTGGTATGCTAAAAAAATTCATCAAATGGAAGCTTCCCCATCACCAAAAACTAAAAGCTAAACAGATCTTAAGTCAAGCCGGCCAATCTAGCGCTCCCTTTTTCCCTCCAAAACATGGATCAACATATCCAACTTCCTTAAATCATAAGGGCCAATAAATCTAAAACAACAGAACAACAATACAATTTACAAAATGGAAGGCATGCATAATAACAAATAAAGAAGAGTAAAACCTAAAGAAAACACTAAAATTGATAATTAGAAAAGAAGAGTAAAACCTCTCCAAGATTTCATCTATGCAAATTGAATGACAAAGATAATAGGTTCATTGGAGATTTTGTCAATCACTGAACACTTTTTATTAGCAAAATTTCACCAAATGGTGCAACAGAGCTTATTATCATTGTTTGAAAGAAGGAAGAAAAATAAATAATTTGAAAGAAATATAATTGAAACTAATAAATTAAAAAGTACCTTAGATGATCACATTCAAATGAAATCATATTCAATAGATAACCATTTTTTGTCCCTTTCTTTCACTCAAGTACCACTAATAACAACCCAACAACCCAATAACATTTGCAAAGGAGCAAATCACTCAATGTAAAAACCAAATCAAACTAATAGTGTAATTGAATAAATTAAAATAAATAAAAATATAATGAAATTATTTTGTAATAAATATACCAACTAAAAAAGCATTTTTTTTTTAGTTTGGTTCAAAATCTTATTAAACTCACTAAAGGAAAATGCATAATAAGGAATGTTGGAGTCATTAACCAAACTCTGAGCAATCCTAAGATTACAAATAATCTTGTATGCATGGGTGGTTGGCTTAAAAGGATCTTCATCCAAAGAAACACCACAATTTGAAATTGTATAAACTTCTACTTTAGTAAAATTATCCTTAAAATGCAAAGAAGGCTTAAGAGTTGCTTGAATCCTCCTCGAACAAAACATGTAAAAGTGCTAGAAGTAGGAGATATTAAAAAAACAGACTTTAAAATACCTAATGAAAGCCCAAATTCAAAACATAAAATACTTACCAGTTCATCTAAAAGAAGCAGTTCAATATTATCACACAGTTTTGGCTACCGAGAATTCTTCTGCCTCCAATGCCTAATTCCTCTAACCTTTATCCTCCATCCCTCTTTAGAAGGATTAAGTTCTTTGATAAAATTGAACCTGTTAGCCATTAGGATTTGTATGCTTTCTATGATACTAAAAGAAAAAAACAATGACTGGTATAATATTATATATGCATGCAGAAAAGGCCCTTCAAATGAAAAACATTTATTGGATAGATTATGAAGAAGAATTGGGAAAACAAAAGTCTGTAGAATTTGAAATCAGTAGATGAACATAAATTTTGAGCACATTGGAAATATAAGACAAAAATGAGGCATTTGATAATAGAATAGGCACACTAATAAATGTTTGTCAAAGTTTTAAAGGAAAAATTATCCAATTCATAAATGTGAACAAATATGAACACATCGTGTGAACACATAGTGTGAACATGTATAAACACATAGTGTGAACACAAAAAGGCATTTGATAATAGATTAGGCAAACTAATAAATGTTTGTCAAAGTTTTAAAGGAAAAATTATCTAATTCGTAAGTGTGAACAGGTGTAAACAGATAGTGTGAACACAAAGAAGCTTTATTGGTTTTGCTTGAATATATTTTTAGATATTAATTCAACTCTCAATTTTTATCATAAATATTAAATATTCTCACAATTTTTTATTTAAAACAAAAGTAGTTCTTGAATTGGGCATTTGGATTCAATGATTCCACTATAAATTTTAGTATTTGGGTTTACTTGATTAAGAGTTTGT